ATCATAACTAAAGGCATGAAAAAATGCAAATAGAGGAATTAACAGCTAATCAATACCAAGAAAAATATTAGGAGTCTAGATCGACTTCAAAATAGAAAATCTCAAAGGAAACCTCCAGATGAAACTCTCCACATCCAAATACTTTGAACAAATATAACTCTAAAGAATATTAAAGAACAATTTTTGAAATGTGGTCGATAATTCAAAGGGAACAATAAACACATTAATCATAAGAAGTAGAATAATAGAATTGCAACAAAAAATTATCTCAAAATAGCAAGAAAAGTGAGAAAATATATACATGTTGGCAGTCAAGAATACAGGTGAAACATTTGAAAAATCAAGATTGTTATATCTGAATTTTGAGCTAACTGAACGAAACACAATCAACCTGGATATGGACGTATAATGATGAGAGACATTATAGGCATAAACGAGAGAAAAAAAAGCGAAAAAACTCAACAAGGTATTAAAATCAAAGCTTTCAAATTCAAGACACAAAGAAGAATTTCCACTTTAAATTTGAGGGTACTAGAGGCTAGGAATTTCTATATAAGGAAGGGAAAGACCAATCGACTTCGTGAAACTCGGAAGGTCTCATGGCTAATAATTAAAGTGGTGGAAGAGATATGCATGAGGATGAGTAACAGATATATTAGAACAACTCATATTATAAAGACATCTGATATGCTATTCATCTCAAAAATACAACTCTAGATGAAAGAGAAGTAAATACATAGACTTTATTTGATTTAGGAGTATAGGGAAAGAGACTAATTAATATTAAAAAGCTAAATTGGCTTACTTAATTATCAGATCATGCAAGCGATGAAAAGTTAGGGGTGAAAAATAGAGGGAGTTCAATACTTATCATGAACAAATCCCCTGATGAGAAGAGAACATAATAACCAAAACTTTTAACTAATCTAGTATCTTTGATTGCACGGAAAAGACAAATAACAACACAAATTTGGAAAAACAGAGAATGGTACATAAGCAAATTTGAAGTAATCTTCTTGGATAGGCTTAGTCAAAAACCTCTTAATTGAACAACTATACAAATGATGCATCCAACTACATAATAATGCACCATATCATAATTGAAGAACCAAAACAAAATACCAATATAAGAGAAAATACATAATAACAAGCAAAGAAAAATAAGTAGAAGCTACAAGAACCAAATAAGCAATAATATGCAGATGAAATCCAAGACCTAATTCCAATTTTACACTATTAGGAACTGTTGATGTGCAATGTATTGTAGTTTCACCTCAAGATCCTATATCTATTGTACAATGATCGATTATTTTAAGTTCAAATTTAAAGGAAATGAAAACATCATTCTCATTGTGGGTCACACAGTTTTAAAATAAAAAAAGAAGAGAAATCTCATTCAAAAAGAATCGCAAAGAGATAAACAAAGGAGACGAATCAAAGCTAAAGACACGGAAAAATATGAATAAAGGAATGAATTGCTAAACAGAATAAAAAATAGGAGGCTAATATTGGTACTGAACGACTAAGCCTTGTAAGCTATAGTTAGTTCATTTTAGTTAAGATAACGCAGCAGTCATTATTTATTTATATTACGTTATTAGTGTTTGTTTAGGAGTTCTCTCTGTAATTCTATTTAATACTCGTTTGAGTTCATTAATAAAGTATCTTCTTTCAGCACTTACTCAGTTTTTATATGGTATTAGAGCTCTATAAGCTCTAACAAGAACGATTAATTTATTTTTGGAGTATGATTTGAGCCATGGATAGCATAAACAATCAAAAATCCGTAAGGAGTTGTAATTAGGTGATTTTCCCTTTCTCATCATTGTCACCAGTGCTTTGACCCAAATGTTGGTAAGGTCTATTTGTCCCGAGATGTGTGATTTATTGAGAGTGTTTTTTCCATTTAAAACTCTATACTCTAATATTGCCGTAAAATCATCTCATCTAGAATAGGAAAATACCACAATTTTAAATCCTTCAGACCTCACCACATTTTCTGTCGTTATTGGTCTTCCTCATCCCTTAAACATAGACACGCACACACCTGTGGACTACCGATCAATACCTTCTACTTACCCAAGAGAGTTATAGGACAACTCAAGATCTCAATCCTACACCAAAAGTGAATCAGCGGTGGAAGCAACTTCACCTCCTGCAATGTCAACGTCTCCAGATAAATTTTTATCTCCCTCAACTTCTACAATTCCCACTCTCCTGGAACTGTCTTCTCCCTGTACTGCCCAAAACACTACACCGCCATACCTCCCTCCATGTTCACCAACCCACATACCACTGAACACAGATAGCAGCCCGCGTCCCCTCCTTGTTTATCAATGCAGAAACACCATTCCACCAACAGCCATGGACCCTCGACCAGTATGCCCTATCTATGAGTCAGATATTGCTCTTTTCCTGCCTCATTGTCTGTCTCCCCCTACATGTGCTGTCACGCGATCCCAAAACAACATCACTAAACCCTAACAAATTGTTGATTGCCTGGCCAAACCAAACCCCATCATCACACCTATTACTGCCAAACAAGCTCAAAAACATCCCCACTGGTGAGATGCAATGAAACATGAACTTGATGGTTTAATTAAAAACCAGACATGGGAACTTATTCCTCCAGACCTAACCAAAAATATTGTCTCTTGCAAGTGGCTTTTCGGGATAAAAAGGAAAGCAGGTGGGTCTGTTGATAGATATAAAGCACGGCTAGTTGCAAGAGGATTCACTTAGAGACAGGGCATTGACTTCCACGCGACCTTCATCCCAGTTGTCAAGCCTACCATAGTCCGGATTATCCTCTCTGTGGCACTTTGAAATAATTTGCATCTCCTTCAACTTGATGTTAACAATGCTTTCTTCCACGGGACCTGGAAAAAGAGGTGTACATGGAACAACCTCTAGGATTCCTTAATGATGACAAACCAACTCATATATGTCGACTGCGCAAGGCAATCTATGGATTGAAACAAGCCGATATGATTTTGTTAAGATGAAATCAGATGTTTCGCTACTCGTCAGACAAGGTCTAGGTGATACAGTGTTTGTCCTTTTCTATGTCGATGATATTATTTTCACTGGCAGCAACATTTTCAGTGTCGATCAGGTTATTGCTTCACTTTTTTCTCAATTCTCTATTAAGGATTTGGGAAATCTTCACTACTTTCTGGGTGTTGATGTTATATGCAGCTCTGACGGATTAATTCTCACCCAAATGAATTATGTGAACGAGATTTTGAATGATGAACTAATGACCGATTGCAAAAAGTGTCCACACACCAATGAGTGCATCTGAGCTACTCACATTGTTTGATGCCACTCACCTGACTGATGCAACACGGTATCGTAGAGTCTTAGGCAGGCTCCAATGCTTGTCTTTTTCTAGATCAGACATCGCCTATGCAGTGAATAAGTTATCCTAATTTATGAAAGCACCATCATAACTTCATTGAAAAGCTGTGAAGCGTGTTCTCCGTTACTTGCGTGGAACCATCCAGTTGGGCCTCCGTGTAACCTCCATTGAGGACTTCAATCTGCATGTATACTCTGATGCAAATTGGGGGATATCTTTGACAGGGTTTCCACATCTGGGTATATCCTGTTCCTTGGTACAAATCTGATTAGTTGGTCCTCGAAGAAGAAAAATATTGTCTCTCGATCCTCCACTAAATCTAAGTATAGGGCAGTGGATAATGCTTTTTCAGAAACCTTGTGGGTGACCAATCTTCTAACTGAGCTGCGTTTTCCAGTGCACCAGTTGCCTACCATTTACTGTGACAATCTTGGAGCCACATTCCTGAGCAAAAATCCTGTCTTTCATAGTCGTGTGAAGCATGTTGCAATTGATTTTGACTTTGTTCGCAACCATGTAGAAATAACGAAGTTAATGTTGTTCATGTCCATGGTGCCGATCAAATCGTTGACACTCTCACCAATGCACTACCTAAACCTACTTTCAAGCAAAATATAATCAAGTTAGGCTTAATAACCCATCGTCTAACTTGAGGGGGCGTATTGGCACTGAACAACTCAGCCTTGTTAGCTACTTTTAGTTCAATTTAGTTTGGATATTGCAGCAGTCATTATTTATTTATATTACGTTATTAGTTTGTTTAGTGGCCTTCTTATTCTCTCTGTATTTCTATTTAATACTCGTTCGAGTTCATTAATAAAGTATCTTCTTTTAGCACTTACTCAGTGTTTATAGCTTAATGAGCTACAAAATAGGAAATCTCAAATGGAACGTCTAGACAAAACTCTCCAGATCATAAATCTTTTCAGCAGATCTAACTGTAAAGCATCCAAAAGAAAAGCTTGAAAATAAGATCGAGAATCAGTGCAATAAAAATATGAATCCGAAGTAACGGACAAATAGAAGTGCAATAAGAATACCCCCAAAGGTCAAGATATGAAAAGTTCGGGCGAAAATGGAAGGAGTTCAATTCTTATTATGCACAAATTCCCTGATGGGAGGAAAATATGATTAACACAACTTTATTGCAAGTAGACATTCGTGGAACACATAAAACAATACTAATTTGTATTCATATAGAATAGTAAATATAGCGTAATCTTTCTGAATTGTCTTAGCCAAAAACCTATTATTTGAGTTGGTTCAATAGATATAAATCATACAAATGATGCACCCAACTACATAAAAAACACAACCATACAAGAATTCAAGAATAAAAATGCAGAAATCAATACAACAAATAATGCATAATAACAAGTAAAGAGAAATAAGAAGCAGCTAGAAAAAAACAAATAAGTAATGCAACATGCAGATCAAATGAAACATTAATTTCAATTTTATACTACTAAAGTTGGTTGATGTGAAAAATACGGTATTTTCACCTCAGGATGCTACTTCTATTATACAAACATTAATATATTTAAGTGAAAAATTAAACAAAAGAAAAACATCATTCTCATTTTGGATCAAATAATTTCGAACCAAAAAGATAAATAAAATAAGCGAAAAGCTTACTTACCAAAAATTATAGAGAGAACAACATTAGCAAAGAATCAAAGCAGCTAGGGGAAAATCTGAGTAGAGGAATTAATTGCTAACCTGAATGAAGAAAAAATAGAAGGAAACTAGATTAGCTTCACAATAAAAAATCTCAAATGGAACCTCTAGAGGAAACTCTCAAAATTCCAAATATTTCCAACATATCTAACTCTAAAACATACTAAAGAAAAGTTTGAGAATAGGATTGTCAATCAAAAGGTTGTAACAAACACATGACACAAGAGAAACGGACAAATCGAACTGCAACAACAAAATACCCCAAAAGGTCCAAAGATGAAAAATTGGGTTGAAAAATGGAGGGAGTACAATACTTTATGAAAAAATCTCATGATGGGAGGAGAACATGATAAACAAAACTCTTAACTAATCTTTTTTCTTTGGTTACAAGTATACATTCATGAAAGACAAAAAACAACAACAAAAACTTGGATACATCTACAATAACATAACCAAATTTGGAGTAATGTTTCTTGAATTGGATTATTCAAAAACCTATTAATTGAATAGGTTCAATACATATGAATCATACAAATGAAAAAAACAACCATACAAGAACTCAAGAATCAAAATTCAAACACCATTACAACAAATATTACATAATAACAAGCAAAGAGAAATAAGAAGCAACTGCAAGAACGAATTAAGCAATGCAACATGCAGATCAAATCAAGTCCTAATTTCAATTTTACACAGTTAGATCGGTTGACGTGCAATGTATAATATTTTCACCTTAGGATGCTAATTCTATTGTATTGGTCCTTTTAAATGCAAAGAAAAAAGAAAGGAAAAGATCATTCTCAATGCAGGTCACATAGTTTCAAATGAAAAAATAAAACGAAAATAGAAGTTCTCTTACCAAGCATCCCATAGAGAACATCATCGGAAATGAATCATAGATGGCACGGAAAAATGAGAATAGAGGACTTAATTGCTAACCAGTATCAAGAAAAAAAATAGAAAGATTTTAGATTGGCTTCAGAATAGGAAATCTAAAATAGAACCTCTAAATGAAACTCTCCATTCCCAAATGTTTTTAACAAATCCATTCTAAAGCAACCTAAAGAAGAGATTGAAAATGAGATCAGGAATCAATGTGGGGAAATAAACATAACAATTAGAAGAAACAAACAAATAGAACTGCAACAAAAAAATACCCCAAAAAAGGTTAAGAGTTGCAAGGAAAATGTGAATAGAGAAATGAAGTGTGAAGCAAAATCAAGAAAAAAAATGGGGCTAGATCTACTCCAGAATAGGAAATCTCAAATGGAACCTTTAGACGAAACTCTCTAGATCCCAAATATTTTCAAAAAAAATCCAACACTAAAGCATCCTCAAGAATTTTTTGAAAATTGAGATCGAGAATCAATCGCAAAGCAAAATCAAGAAAAAAATGGGGCAAGATCAATTCCAGAAGAGGAAATCTCAAATGAAACCTATTGACGAAACTCTATAGATTCCAAATATTTTCAACAAATCCAAGTCTAAACCATCCTTTAAAAAAATTAGAAAATTGCGATCGAAAATCAAAAAGGTGCAATAAACACATGAAACAAAAGAAACAAAAACATAGCACTGCAACAACAAAATACCCCAAAAGGTTAAGAAAGAAGTCAAAAGATTGGCATGCCTGCCTTGTGCGTTGGGCCCATAAGGTTAGCGATGCAAATGAAGTTGGATCAAAAACCTAAATAGGTCAAAAAAGTTATGCCCAACCATACTTAATTCAAGGGTTGGATTGGGCTAACTTAATAGGCCAACCCCATTTTGACAGTTCCAGGCATTATAGCATGACAGATGAGGATGAACTCTACAAAGAAGAGAATTATCATCTTGGTATATGCATTGTCTCTTCATCTAGAAAACAAGTTAGAAAGCGATAAAAGTATCCAAAGAGGACACGGGAGAAAAATGTCACCTATAGGGATTTGCAAGCTCAAATACCAGACAAGGCACTTCTATCAACACCACCAAAGTAACCACTACATCCACAATATTGAATTCCTAAAAAAAAGGTCAGCAGACAAATCGCGAAGGGAATGTTAGCTAAAATTTAATGGAGACGTACCTCAATGAGCTGACAAAAATGATAATGATTACGGTCCAAATGAAGGTGTTGATAACCTACATCATAAGGAAAAGGAAAGTGGAGTTGAAGAGAGCTCCCTGCGACGACATTGTGGAGAAAATGAAAGAGCTCAATTAGGAAACCCTAATACTTAGATTCTGACAATAGAGGCGGGCAAGTTCATCATGAGTTGAGCCATTTTCTTTTATATATTTTTTTCGTTTTAATCGGACAACCTCTTTTGCATAAACTTTTGAAATTCAATAAAAGAGCACTTAGATACTCTATTATTTAATAAAAGGTGGGGGGATATATATTTGTCGGCAGTCAAGAATAAAAGTGAAATATTTTATAATCAAGATTGTTATATCTGAATTCTTAGTCAACTGAACAAAATAAAGTCAACCTAGAAAGTGAATCAAGACGAGAGACAAGATAGGCATAAATAAGAAAAAAAAAGCAAAAAATAAACAAGAAGCAACAATCAAATATTTCTAGTTCAATAAAGTAGAGGACATAGATCACAAACTTAGTTGGTCATATCCTCCTCGTTTTATCTTGAATTTGAAAGCTTCGATTTAGATATCTTGCTAATTTCTTGCAATCGTTTTTCTTGACTTATGCAAACTTGTATATCATCTTTATACATTTCTCATCTTTGTTTGTTTCTAGGTCGACTGCATTTTGTTCGATGAGCTAAGAATCAAGATATAATGATTTTGATTATCGAATATTTCACTTGTATCTTGACTATCAGCACGTATATCTTTTTCCTTTTTTTCTTAAACTAACATCGAAGCGAAGGGCTCCTTTTATTCAATTTCAAAAGTAACTAAAAAGAGATCGTTTGACCCAAAACAAACCAACATAAAAGAAATTGACCAGATTTGTAAAGGAACTTGCCTATCTTTATTATCACACCTTAAGAATTAGAGTTTCCTATTTGAGATCCTTCATTTTCTCCATAATGTCATCGCATGGAGCTCTCTTCAAATGCACTTTTCTTTTCCTTGTAATTAGAGTCATCAACACCTTCATTTGAATTGTCATCCTTACCACCTTTCTAAGTTCACAGAGATGCGTCTCCATTGAGTTCAGCTTCCATTTCCTTCTCGCTTTGTTTGTTGACCTTTTTTTAGGGATATAACCTGGTGGATGCGATAGTTACTTTGGTGGTGTCATTAGAGGTGTCTCATCTGGTATTTAAGTTTGCAACTCCCAATAAGTGACAGTTTCTCTCTTGTCCTCTTTGTTTCCTTTTACCGCTTTCTAACTTTTTGTTTTCCAATAGACAATGGAGATACTAGGATGTTCATGCTCTTCTTCTTTGGGGATTTCATCCTCATATGTCGTCATATAGTTCCCAATCTTTTGACCTTTTTCTTTGCCTTTTGGGTATTTTGCAGTTCTATTTGTCTGTTTCTTCTGATTCATGTGTTTATTTCACCCTTTTGATATCTTGTGAGTTTTTGCTCCCTTTTTTTCTTGTTTATGTTTAATGTATCTCTCATCTTTATACGTCCATTTCCAAGTTGACTACATTTTGTTGAGTTGGCTAAGAATTCAAATATGGTGATTTTGATTATCAGATGTTTCACTTGTATTTTTGACATCAATTGAACTCAAAATTCTCAATAGACATGTAGGCTTAAGTCTTTCATGTAGTGCGCCCATAAATCACCAATCATAATTCGAACAATCCAATCCAATAAAAAAACACAAAATCCTCCATATATCTCTATTTGTCACCAAACCAAAGTCAACTCTTTGGAAGAGTCGCTTATAAAACCTTTATAAGTATGTGTCGAACCCAGGATTTATACGTAATGTCTCATTTCCTTACATATCTTGAGTTGTACCTTGACATAATTCTAAATATTTTGAACTCTTCAATATACAACAAGATTATTGTTGCTTCTACTAACTTGTTTACCAATGCTATTCAGTTTCCAAAAATTCATAAAATTTTACCCTATACTTTTAACCAAAAACATCAAGTGAAACACTTCATTAGGTCTTTGAAATTCTACAACTCAAACCATACAAAAGTCCTTCCAAATGCTCAGTAATCGACATGATCGATGATTTCTTACCTTACCAATTTATATTGTCGCACCCATGTTTTACAAAATAGGTTTTGCAACAACATGACATCTCTTTCTACTAAATAGAGAAGAGTCGCTACCTGACAAAAATGAGTGTTAGGAAACCATTTTATACTAAACAAATAAATTGATTAAAAAGGGTTATATACAATCAAATATTAGGCAAGTGTTCAAATTATCTAAAAAGTAAGGTGTTAGGCACCTTTCAAGGTCCATAAAAGTGGATCCAACCGAATCTTATAAATTATGTGGGGATATGTGATAAGCAAAAGGGATATTAATTTATTAAGCTAAGAATGACTACACAATTACATTAAAATTCACCCTACAAGCCACGAAAAGTTAATGCAAGTCGATAGATCCTTCAATCATCGATTACAATATCGACTTTCCACACTTATCATGACAACATCACCGATCTTAGGCGCTTATGGGAGCCTAGAATACACATGCACCACTAGAGTCTTCATAAGAACTCCAGGGCGAGGGCCATGGTGAACCCAAATTAATAATGAGAAGCTTTTAAATCATCAACAAAGACATCAGGACGGGCTGTTGATTGAATCGGTCAAATAGTATATAAAAACTTTATTTTAAAACATTAAACAAGTAAACATATTAAGCATGAATCCATAATTATTTAAATTAATACAAAACTAGGTGAGCAGATAATTGAATAAATTGACATGATTATTATTTAAGCAACAAGTACAAATAATGGTAACCAAAGGGGCATCAATCAATTAATTAAAGTAAGTTATGTGATAAAATAGGAAAGATTCTAGTGAAAGCAACTTAACAAAGATAGTAAAATGATTATTAATTAACAAAAAAATTAAAATAATAAGAACTATTCATTATTAAATTAAATAATCATGTGAGGCTAATACTATTTTAAAAAATTAATATTTATAAGAAGGCAATAATTAGTTTAGAAAATATATATAGAATTAAAAACAAAGATAGAAAAATTGTAAAGGTGAAAATGTAAATAAATCTACCCCAAACAAAGATGAATCATAATTATGAAAGAAAATGACTTCTAAGCTTAAAAAATACTTCAAATTTAAACCAATCATCTAGAGATTATAAAGAGGTTTCAAATGTTTGTTTCCTTATAGAGATAATATCACGATATTATTAATCATACTCTTCCACCTTAGAAACATTTTCATTTGAGATTGATCTTAGAACATAATAATAGTATTTAAAGGATAGTTGAAGATTGGATTTAAATACAAACACATAAATATATTTACATACAAATACACTATTCATTTAGAAAAATCTTTGGTGAGCAATACTCTAAAGGTCACATCATCTTGGTTAAAAATTTGGAACTAAACCAACAATTCCTTTTACTTTCCCACAGCTATAGGTTGGAAAATAGTAGTTTACCATATATCAAATCAAAAGCAACATGTCCAATTCAAGTGCTTAACAAGAATTGGACAATGGCTTTTATAACAAAAATGAGAACAACTTTAATAATTGAACATAAAAATTGAAAAAAGAAACATGTAGCACATAATGTTTCCCCAACCCAAATGATAGAAGCTCTTATTCTTAATATTACAAAAAATCTAGTTCACAAGATATTACAAACCCAGTAGTGAAATAGAAAAGACAATGATACTAAGACTAGTAGGCTTGACTAGACGATCCATGAGAAGTCACAACTCTTCAATGCCCCTGATATCGAACTAATGCCCTGTTCACACAAAAGAAATGTGCACGCACCCACAATAGCATAGAGCGGGAAACACTAATAAGCCCACTTCCATAACAGCCTTGTAAAGCACCACAAAATGTGAAGTACATATTTCACACCATAACATATTTTCTAGAACATTAAGAAATATTCTTAGCTACCACATTGAACAATTATTTTGTAAGTAGACTGAGAAGAGAACCCCAAAGGTATATTATGATAACCATGATTTCAAACAAACAAGAAAAAGAGAAACAAGCTTTGAAGTTAAATTATGAGTAAATCCTATGAACATGTATTCTAATGCACAAAGTTTCTGTAAACCTATCAAACCACATTAAAAATAAAAGGACATACCTGTTTGCTTCTACCAGAATGCTTAAAACATTCGAGTTTTCCTAAACACACATTTGACACACGAGAATGAAAAATACAACTGCCACATTAAGCATGAAGAGTACTTCGATAGAAACTAATCTATTAGGAAGTAACAATCTAGAAAACGCAACGATAACCAATGACACCACAGCAATACGAGCATCAATAGCCAAAATTTGTATACAACTAGCAACAAAGAACACGAGAACCTAGAAAAGACTATTCAGTTTATTAGTGTATCAAAGAAGAGACGTGTCCTCCGATCAAGAGGTTCTAGTTATTTTGTAATGGAGAAGTGAGTTCCAGTGTCTTTCACCAATGATCAATCATTGACAAGAAAAAGATGAAAGCATAAAGTAATACTCCCCCTGTCCCTATTTACTTGTCCATATTTCATTTTTTAGTTGTCGCTATTTACTTGTCCATTTTGACAAATTAAGAAAGACAAAAAATTTCCTATTATACCCTCAGTTAACCTTTTCGAAGACTTCCAAGTTTTAATTCATCATTTTTGAAACCATAATTAATAATGGTAAAATTATAACTTCACCATGCTAATTATTGATATCTTAATATGTGTATCATTTCTAAAGTGGACAACTAAATAGGGACAGAGGAAGTATATGGTAAGGAGGGTTGATCAGTCAATGTATAAAGATAAGGAAAGAAAATATTCTTCTCAATCATTAGCATATATTCGTGGGAGCATAAAAGGAGAAACATCAAGATATATGCAATTTCAAAAATCCTCTTGTCAAATCAAGTAAGTTATGCTACTAACCATGTCTTGATCCGCTAAGGAAGATGTAATTACCATAATTCAAATAAGCACTATCAATCAGACAAGTACAAAGATCTCCAGTTGCCCCATTTAGACATATGAATGTTGCGAATCAAATTTGAAGGAAGAGGAATTCTCATTGATCAAGTTAATGATTGAGAAAATTGTAGATATGA